TTCCATCTTTTCATGTACTATGTATATATACCTGCTACTGTATTTTCCACTCCATGCATCCGATGAAGTGGGTTCTAGCCCACGAAAGCTTATGCCCAAATAAATGTGTTAGTCTCTAAGGTGCCACAAGGACTCCTCATAATTACTTATGTAGTGTTAATACATACAATTCACAATAACATTAATCACCAGTGTGTCATAGGCATTCATAAAACACCTCACTCGTTATACTTTTATAATACAGCAATATTGTCTACAATTAGTTGATTCAATTGCTCATCACTTGAGGTTCAGGCCCCCTTCCCCCATCTCTTTACAGACCAGTAAAACTTTGCAATGTATTCTTTGAAAAGTAAAACCCAGACCAAGGTGTAGATGCCATGCTATCTCCTCCCCACTGGTTAGCTTGACAGGTTTTGTTTACCTAATATCTAAATGGATCCTCATCGTCTCTGCCTGACAGCTGGGCTGGTCAGAGAAGCAAATACACATTCCTTTGTCTAGGGCAGACCTGTTTATCAACTCCCCCTGACATGCCTGGCTTATACACAGTTTAGTCAGCATTCCAGCATATATCCATAACTCTTAATACACTCCGCCAGGGCTTAAATTCAGCTGGAGCTGTCTGGAGCAGAGCTCTGGTAAATATTTTCAAACCTCTGGGGGGCCGTGAGCCAGTTTCAGGGGGGCTGCGGGGCTGAAGCCCTGAGCCCTGGGGCTCCGGGAAATACTCTGAGAATTTAAGCCCTGCACACCACATACATACGTCACACAAGAATATTAATGATCAGGGAAATATTGGTTTTCCAATGACATGTTACACGACATCTTTTAGATACAAATTGTAACCACAGTGAGTGGGGGCACACTGAATTGGTCAGGCCAGCTGAAACTCATTACCGGATACCAGGGAGCCCCTTGCCCTCTGGCACTAGGATGCTCTGAGCGTCACAGAGCTGGATCAGACCCACAGTGAGCGGCCTGACAAAGACACACTAGCTAAGATATCACTGGCTTTACCACCATCAAGGTGCTCTGATTTAGGGATAGCAATACTCAGGAAGAGAGAAGCATGGTCCAGTAGTTAGGAGGCTAGCTTGGTACTTAGGAGATCCAGATTCAATTTCCTGCTCTGCTATAGACTTCCTGTGTGACCTTAGACAAGTTCCTTAGGGCTTGTCTACATGAGTATTTATTTCATGGCAAGCTAGGCTGGGACTTTAGCTTGCCGTGCACTGGCTGTCCATGCTGACCCTGCTGACACATGTTAACAGTTCATTAATGTGCTTTGATTAGTTCTTTTTCAAAGAGCACTAGAATTAGATCAAAGTGCATTAACAAAGTGTTAATGCATGTCAGCAGGGTCAACGCGGAGAGTTAGTGCATGGCAGGCTAGCGCGGAGTACAGTCACAGCCTAGCTTGCCATGTTCGGTTAGACAAGCCCTTAGTCCCACTGTGCCTCAGTTCTCCATCTGTAAAATGGGGATAAGAGCAGTTCCCTGTCTCACAGGGGTGTTAAGAGGATAAATACATTCAAGATTGTAAGGGGATCAGATACTACAGTAAGGGGCACTGTATAAGTATCTAAGATAGACAGACAGGGCATGAAATCAGCACAAACAACCTCATCCTGAGTCTGACCCAGACACCACAATCCCTGCAGGGTGGGAGGCAGGAGACGGTTCAGAAGAAACCAATTATGGGTGGAGACCACAAGGGAGGAATAAGCAAGTTGAACTGAACTCAGTTTTTACTACACATCAGTTGAAATGTTTAAGTAAAAGAAACTTACATTGTATGCCTTGACTATCAGCTGGATAATGTTGTTGGAGTCTTGATGTAAAATCTCCACTGTCGTTCCGGGAATTAGTGCTGTAAAATTCTTAAAAACAAACACACAAAGATTCACACACTGAAATATAGAGTCTGGGTTAAATTGTGCTCTCAGTTCCACCTGTGCAGCCATTAACGTCAATTGTTGCTTGCATGGGATGGAGGAGACTGTTTTGCCCAGACTTTTCAAGAAAGATGTGGAGAAATTGGAAAGGGTCCAGAGAAGAGCAACAAGAATGATTAAAGGTCTTGAGAACATGACCTATGAAGGAAGGCTGAAAGAATTGGGTTTGTTTAGTTTGGAAAAGAGAAGACTGAGAGGGGACATGATAGCAGTTTTCAGGTATCTAAAAGGGTGTCAGAAGGAGGAGGGAGAAAACTTGTTCACCTTAGCCTCTAAGGATAGAACAAGAAGCAATGGGCTTAAATTGCAACTAGGTTGGACATTAGGAAAAAGTTCCTAACTGTCAGGGTGGTTAAACACTGGAATAAATAGCCTAGGGAGGTTGTGGAATCTCCATCTCTGGAGATACTTAAGAGTAGGTTAGATAAATGTCTATCAGGGATGGTCTAGACCGTATTTGGTCCTGCCAGGCGGGCAGGGGACTGGACTCGATGACCTCTCGAGGTCCCTTCCAGTCCTAGAGTCTATGAATCTATGAATCTATGACTCTATTAATTAGAGTACATGATATAGTTTAATTTTAATCTGGAGCGCTTGACAAAGGAAATAGGAGCATTATGGGTCCATAAAATGCTAATCGAAATCCATAGCCAAAGAAACTGGTCAAATAACGATCAGTAACCCACTCCCAACCAACCAAGACTCACACTCATTAGATGGAGCAAGATCCAGTGGATTTGCACTTGTGTAAATGACAGCAGAATTTAGCACAAATTCCTGCCATACAGGAAGCCAGCCTTGGATTCCATCAGAGACCGCTCTGGTGGGGATGCTAGTTTGCACTGAAAAGGGTGTGGAGAATGAGATAATAAGCCATTTAGCTCTCCATTGGGTTACTAGAATAATTTTGAAATTACCAACATTTGCTTTAGTGCAAGGGATGAGTTTCTGGGATTAAGGGTTTTTTTTTTTTTTAAACCTGGATGCAAACATTTATGAGAGCACCTTCCATGCAACCATTTCCCTTCTCCACTTTATTTTTTTATGATGAACAGCATAATTTCCTTCTTTAATAAAAATAAAAATAAAAATAAAAAAGGCAGCAGTTGTGGCGGGGACCCACACCCAGTTTGGGTGTGTTTCTAGAAATATTTGAGACTGAGAATAGAAACTCTACAGGTGTTTTAGCCCAGATACTATTTGAAATCCCTCAGAAAAAAATATTTTTTGCTTCAAAGCTCTGGATTTAGTGATGGAAAAATACAGCTGGACAGAAACATGGTGCGTTCCTAGGTAATGGGATTAAGTAATAGCAGTGGGATGAACAGGTGTCTGCTCTCTCAGATGGTGAATCATTGGCAACTTTCCTAAAATCAAGATCAGGCCAGAGTCTATTTTGGGTATTCACATGATCGTAAACATTTATCTATTTACTTTAAGAAGCTTACGTGCTTTTCACTGAAACGACACTTTGTAAATGAACTGGAAAACTGCAGAGACACAACTGGGTGAGTTCAACTTGTGCAAGAATTTCCATGCTTTCCAGTTTCCAGCACAGCATGCATCAGATGCTCTCTCACTCACACAATTTAATTCCTCCTTTCCTCCCACACCAGCCTGCTTCATTCTATTCATGTAGGAAGGGAGACTATTCCAAGTGGCACTAACGTCTCTTCCCCCCGCAATAAATTCTTGATCACATAAAACCCATCTCCCTGCTGGGTGGTTCAACAGCGCTTACCTTGTAAAGGATATAATGAGCTTTTGTCACAGCAAAAATGAGGTGAATGTTGTTTTCAGCCAGTTTCTCCCCAAGAAGTGCCAGGGAAGGATAATCCTAGGAAAACAGATCAGAAAGACTCATTTGTGACACAGAAACAAAAAGCAATTTAATTTTTATTCTAACTAGAGTAGCAAAATTCCCTATGGAAACGCAGCATGTTTTATTGTTATGCAGCGTCCTTATTGTGTAGTTATAGCCAGAAAAGTGACATCTTCTCTCTGTATATGTATTTCTTACACACCCATCACATTCAAGTGCCAACAAAATCAGCTACAGCAAACAACCCGTCTGAAACACTGAACTCCTCACTCTACTTTGCCATCAGTGAGTGCATGGATTTAAATTAGTTGCTATCTTCGAGAAAGGGAGATGAGGCCATTATTTGGGGTTGTTGTCATGGGAAATCTACTGCAGAGAGAGAGATCTGACATTATTTTGCCCTGAAAGTGATGAAATCCATTGTCTGCTCCTTGTGTCTTAGAGTAATGACAAGAAAATAAGCAGATTAACATCAGAGTCTTCACTTTAGACCTGCAAAGCCCACGCAGATGTGGGGGAGTGAGAGGGATTCTATCTGGCCCTGCACACCATCAACAGATCATTTGCAGGATCTTCATTGTGTTGATTAAATGAAGAAGACAGAAAGAGATTGGCTGGAATTTCAGATCCCAGGCTGAGTTTGCAGTTAGGGAGAAAAAACCCACCATCTTTTCACTTGCAAACTGATCAAGTTTAATTTGGAGCCACTGAGATGAAAAACACGGAAGCCCATGGATTCCTTTTTTGCCAATTTCACAACATAACGCCACACCAATACATAGAAAGTAGGAGTGACCAACGGAAATGTAATTTTATTTGTTAAAATTCAAACAGGCAAAACAAAAATTAGTTTGCTTTGAGGACTCCAGCCTATTGTCATGAGACAGCCAACCAGGAAAGCCTGGCATAATGAGGGTGGGGAACCTTCTATGTACATTCAGGAACACAACAATAATTAGGGTTTGTAAGCAGCAGAATAAAGTGTAGATCTGCAGAACAACTTGATAATTACACAGCAGACAAGGACTCATTCACCCAGGAAGTAACCTGCAGTCTCCTCTGCTGACTCATTTGTAATTTCTGAAAAAAGAAAGGTTAGTTTGTCTATTATCATTTAATATTTATATAACTATCAGACCCAGAAGCCCCAGTCAGGAACAGGGCCACATTGTGCTAGATACTGTACACAATCCCTGCACTGAAGAGATGACAGACAATATATTGCGCAAATATTAAAAGAGGAGTACAACATTTTACGTTTTCTTTACGCTCTCTGGATGAATCTTGCCATGATTTGGGGTGTCAAATACACCTTTCCTGTGTGCAACTAACCCTGAGGGGTCTGCAAGCTTGAAAGTCTGTTTAGCCATTTTTGGATGCTACAGGAAACAAGGAGGGGACTGGACGGCTCAGGGACTTGGCAGTGCAAGAGGAGTCTTTCACCCGTAGACTGACGGCTCAAATGAAGCCCCCAGGGTGGTAGGGAGTGAAAGTTGTTGACATCTGTCAAAGGGTCCTACAACCTGCAAGAACAGCTCTTTTAATAGGGGTATTTTGAAACCAAATAAATAAATGCAAGGAATTCGCTGACAGTCAAAGGTTCCGAAGCACCAATAAAAGGGGACCCCAGCACACAGGAGACACTGTGGTTTATTCTCACCAGCTGGTTGGACGCACTGTATTCATTCGCCTCATTCAGGTGACACTGGCCATCATGTGGCTGGACCAGCCCACCTAACTTCCCATCCAGTGCTATGTGTGGCACATCATCCGTTGTAAAGACCAGCAAGTGAGAGGCCTCTTTCCGCCAGCCAATCTTTTCCTGGGTGGAAACAAAACCAGGAGAGAGTCATGAGCCTCCTCTTCTGAGCCAAGTGCTTCTCAGCTTGTGCTGTGTATTGTCCCATCCTCACTCCCATACAACAGAGGAGTCTCTGTTATCACTAATTAAAAGGATACTGCAGGCCTGTCCGTCGACTCCTGATCAGGGATAAAACTCAGGTGCCATTTTCCAACATTTCTTTCAAGTAAGGTTATTAAAAGGCATGAGGAGGTATGTACATAAGTGAACTGTCCACCAGACCCTCTCTGTGCTCCAAGAATAAGTGTTTCAGCTGCTTTTATAGTCAAAGGAGACCTGCCAAATTCCTCCAAACACAGTAAATCTGACCTTGTTTCCTGAGCAACATGGAATTGCCATGCTGCTGCAAACAGCGTGGAGTGATAGTGAGAGCTATGGCATGTTCATTAAATACTGGTCATAAAAAGCTATACTGAGGTGCAATACACTAGATGAGGTCCCTGCCCACGAAGGTATATAGCGTGCGCGTGCACACACACACACACACACACACACACACACACACACACACACACACACAACAACAAACAGAGTACGTT